ATCCCCGGGATGGGGGTGACAAGTGCCCGGAGCTGCGCGAGCCCCTGCTGAGCCACGTGCGCGCCCTCACCCCCAACCAGGTGACACCCCTGGGGACAGGTGACATCACCTGGGGACAGGGGACAGCCCTGGGGACAGCCCTGGGGACAGGTGACATCCCCGGGATGGGGGTGACAAGTGCCCGGAGCTGCGCGAGCCCCTGCTGAGCCACGTGCGCGCCCTCACCCCCAACCAGGTGACACCCCTGGGGACAGGTGACATCACCTGGGGACAGGGGACAGCCCTGGGGACAGCCCTGGGGACAGGTGACATCCCCGGGATGGGGGTGACAAGTGCCCGGAGCTGCGCGAGCCCCTGCTGAGCCACGTGCGCGCCCTCACCCCCAACCAGGTGACACCCCTGGGGACAGGTGACATCACCTGGGGACAGGGGACAGCCCTGGGGACAGCCCTGGGGACAGGTGACATCCCCGGGATGGGGGTGACAAGTGCCCGGAGCTGCGCGAGCCCCTGCTGAGCCACGTGCGCGCCCTCACCCCCAACCAGGTGACACCCCTGGGGACAGGTGACATCACCTGGGGACAGGGGACAGCCCTGGGGACAGCCCTGGGGACAGGTGACATCCCCGGGATGGGGGTGACAAGTGCCCGGAGCTGCGCGAGCCCCTGCTGAGCCACGTGCGCGCCCTCACCCCCAACCAGGTGACACCCCTGGGGACAGGTGACATCACCTGGGGACAGGGGACAGCCCTGGGGACAGCCCTGGGGACAGGTGACATCCCCGGGATGGGGGTGACAAGTGCCCGGAGCTGCGCGAGCCCCTGCTGAGCCACGTGCGCGCCCTCACCCCCAACCAGGTGACACCCCTGGGGACAGGTGACATCACCTGGGGACAGGGGACAGCCCTGGGGACAGCCCTGGGGACAGGTGACATCCCCGGGATGGGGGTGACAAGTGCCCGGAGCTGCGCGAGCCCCTGCTGAGCCACGTGCGCGCCCTCACCCCCAACCAGGTGACACCCCTGGGGACAGGTGACATCACCTGGGGACAGGGGACAGCCCTGGGGACAGCCCTGGGGACAGGTGACATCCCCGGGATGGGGGTGACAAGTGCCCGGAGCTGCGCGAGCCCCTGCTGAGCCACGTGCGCGCCCTCACCCCCAACCAGGTGACACCCCTGGGGACAGGTGACATCACCTGGGGACAGGGGACAGCCCTGGGGACAGCCCTGGGGACAGGTGACATCCCCGGGATGGGGGTGACAAGTGCCCGGAGCTGCGCGAGCCCCTGCTGAGCCACGTGCGCGCCCTCACCCCCAACCAGGTGACACCCCTGGGGACAGGTGACATCACCTGGGGACAGGGGACAGCCCTGGGGACAGCCCTGGGGACAGGTGACATCCCCGGGATGGGGGTGACAAGTGCCCGGAGCTGCGCGAGCCCCTGCTGAGCCACGTGCGCGCCCTCACCCCCAACCAGGTGACACCCCTGGGGACAGGTGACATCACCTGGGGACAGGGGACAGCCCTGGGGACAGCCCTGGGGACAGGTGACATCCCCGGGATGGGGGTGACAAGTGCCCGGAGCTGCGCGAGCCCCTGCTGAGCCACGTGCGCGCCCTCACCCCCAACCAGGTGACACCCCTGGGGACAGGTGACATCACCTGGGGACAGGGGACAGCCCTGGGGACAGCCCTGGGGACAGGTGACATCCCCGGGATGGGGGTGACAAGTGCCCGGAGCTGCGCGAGCCCCTGCTGAGCCACGTGCGCGCCCTCACCCCCAACCAGGTGACACCCCTGGGGACAGGTGACATCACCTGGGGACAGGGGACAGCCCTGGGGACAGCCCTGGGGACAGGTGACATCCCCGGGATGGGGGTGACAAGTGCCCGGAGCTGCGCGAGCCCCTGCTGAGCCACGTGCGCGCCCTCACCCCCAACCAGGTGACACCCCTGGGGACAGGTGACATCACCTGGGGACAGGGGACAGCCCTGGGGACAGCCCTGGGGACAGGTGACATCCCCGGGATGGGGGTGACAAGTGCCCGGAGCTGCGCGAGCCCCTGCTGAGCCACGTGCGCGCCCTCACCCCCAACCAGGTGACACCCCTGGGGACAGGTGACATCACCTGGGGACAGGGGACAGCCCTGGGGACAGCCCTGGGGACAGGTGACATCCCCGGGATGGGGGTGACAAGTGCCCGGAGCTGCGCGAGCCCCTGCTGAGCCACGTGCGCGCCCTCACCCCCAACCAGGTGACACGCCAGGGCTGAGGGGGGCGGGGCAGCCCCCCGAGACCCCCCCCCGGCCCTGGGGGGGTCAATAAAGGCCTGGGAGGAAATTTGGGGCTCTGGGTCCCCGAGGGTCCCTGCCAGGGCTGAGGGGGGCGGGGCAGCCCCCCGAGACCCCCCCCCGGCCCTGGGGGGGTCAATAAAGGCCTGGGAGGAAATTTGGGGCTCCCGGATGGTTTTTTTGGGGGCGGGGCCAAACGGGAATGGGGGCGTGGCCTCGCTGTGGGTGGTGTTTGTGAATGCAAATTAGGGGGAGGCTTTTGGGGTGGGCGTGGCTTGGGATGTGCCGGATTTTGGCGGGGTTTTACATGATGGGGGCGTGGTTTCTAGTTTGGGGTGGGTTTTGTGTCATTTGGGGGTGTGGTTTCCTTTTGGGGGTGTGGTTTACACATTTTTGGGGCGTGGCTTCACTACTCACAGGTATCATTCCCTTTTGGGGGCGTGGTTTTTATTTTGGGGGCGTGGTTTTCCTATTTGGGGGTGGGATGGGGGCGTGGCTTTAGTGTTTGGGGGTGTGGCTTCTGCCACTCACACTTATTTGGGGGCGTGTTCTCCATATTTTGGGGCGTGGTTTTCACCACTCATGGGCGTGGTCTCCTCTAGGCGTGGTTTCCATGTTTGGGGGCGTGGTTTCTACCACTCGGGGTGTGCCCATCCCTTATATGGCCACTCCTTTCCCTCTCAGTGGGCGTGTCCTTACCCTCCTCACGCGTTGATTGGCCCTTCCCACCTCGGGGGCGTGGTCTCTGTGTTTTGAGGCGTGGTTTCCGCCACTCCTGGGCGTGTCCTCCATTAGGGGCGTGGTTTCTGCCACTCATGGGCGTGCCCATCCCTTATATGGCCTCTCCCTCCCCCCTCAGTGGGCGTGTCCCCACCCTCCTCGCGCATTGATTGGCCCTTCCCACGCGTGTGGGCGTGGCCTCGCTGACTCAGCGCCGCCATGATGGCGGCGGCCGCTCCCGCCCGCTCCTGAGGCGGCTTCCGGCGGCCATGGCGGCGGCGGCGGCGGGCCCGGGCCCGGCCGAGC